CAGGAATGCCAGGTAGCAAGATTTCACCCCTAACTAGTACAGCTTTCATTGGAAGATTTCATTTTGTCTTGCATTGATTTCTCTGGTTCACTCATTACCTCAACAGAAGCTTCCTTAGATTATTTGTTTTTGTAAAAAATTCAAATGTCTATCTTCACATTAAGACAAGTATCATTTTAGGGATCATTTCTTGTTATAAAAAAAAAAAAAAAAAAAAACTGGCAATAACTGAGTTTTACTAGTCAATTACATTGATAATTTTACTGTTCATAGAATTGGCTTCACATTATGAAAAGAAATCAAGTTGCTTCTGTGTTGAATGTACAGTCTGATTTGTAATATCAATTTTGAATAGTATCACTTATAAAACCTGCATTTTATTCTTATTCCCATCCTAGTATGTTGTGTTGTGCATGATGAGTGGTGACTGATGGTCTGATTTTGCAGATGACGAGTCAGATGTAGAAAATGCTTTCAAGAGAGCTATGCCTTGGCTTGGAGATGACTTTGGCATGAAGGATGCCTCGAGTTCAATTTTTCCCGGTTTGAGTTTAGTGCAGTGGATGAGCATGCAGCCGAATAATCAGCTTTCTGCTGCTCAATCAGGATGTTTCCAATCCATGCTTCCATCTAATACCCTTCAGGGTAACCTTACCACTGATGACCCATCCAAGTTATTGAGCTTTCAAGCTCCTGTCCTCTCTGCCCCAAATCTTCAATTAAACAAACCAAATCTACCAAGTCAAATCAAACAATTGCAACATTCCCCAGTGTCATGGCCTCAGCAGCAGCAACAGCAACAACAGCAGCAGCAGCAACAACAAAACCTACAGCAACAACAACAGCAGCTACAGTCATTATTGCAACTGCCAATGAACCAGCTTCAGCAGCAGAGGCAACAGCAGATGCCTGAACCACAAAACCTGCCATTGCTGCAGCAACTGCCCCAGCAAGTAGGACAACAGCCCCAGAAACAGCAACAGTCAAGTCAACATGCTACGATCATGAATAATGGGGTAGTTGCTTCTAATCAGTTTGTACAACAACCAATGGCATATGGCCAACTTCAACAACAACAATTACTCTCAGGAGGTATCCCACCACAGCAAGGTATCCAGTCAGGTAGTAAGAACACATTCCCATTGACATCCTTACCACAAGACACACAATTTCAGCAACAGATAGACCAGCAAGCTAGTCTCTTACAGAGGCAGCAGCAACAACAGCAGACACAATTGCAACAATCTCCACTGCAGTTGTTGCAACAAAACCTGCCACAGAGAGCGCCACAGCAGCCACCGGCCACTCAAATGTTACAGCAAAACCCCTCAGAGCAACAACTCCACTTACAATTGCTACAGAAATTGCAGCAGCAGCAGCAGCAGCAAAAACAACAACAACAACAAATTCTTTCCACATCCACCCCACTTTTGCAGTCTCAGCTTCTACAACAAAACCAGCAATTACTGCAGCCCTTGCCACCTATATCTCAGCATCAGCCTCAGCAGCTTAGCAATAACGCATTTTCAACAGAGAAGCTTCTGAACAGCAACAACTTCTCTTCTTCAGGTCTTATGCAATCGCAACAGCTTCCTATGAACCAACCCCAAATTATGCAGAAATCACTTACCATTACTAGAGCTCCCTCTACACTAACAGATGGAGATGCCCCATCTTGTTCAACCTCTCCATCTACTAATAACTGCCAGGTGTCTCCTCCAAACCTCCTGAAAAGAAATCAGCAACTACCAGCGGCATTAGGAGGGAGTTTGATGGTTGAGCCCACTGGTAATCTGATACAGGAGCTTCAAAGTAAACCTGACATGCAGATCAAACATGAGTTGCTCAATGTAAAAGGACCTGACCAGTTGAAGTATAAAGGGTCAATTACTGGTCAGTTGGAAGCTTCTTCTTCTGGAACATCTTACTGTCTTGATCCTGGTAATGTCCAGCAGAACTTGCCACTTTCCAACTTCTGCATGGAAGGGGATGTCCAATCACACCCAAGAAACAGTTTACCATTTGACTCTAATCTGGATGGTCTAACACCTGATACTATGCTTCTAAGGGGGTATGACTCTCAAAAAGATCTTCAAAATTTGTTGTCTAACTATGGTGGTGCTCCAAGAGACATTGAAACTGAGCTGTCAACAGCTGACCTCAGCTCACAGTCATTTGGAGTGCCAAACATGCCTTTCAAGCCTGGTTGCTCAAGTGATGTTGGCATCAATGATACTGCAGTTCTGAATAATAATAATAATAATGGCTTGCGGACTAACCAAACTCCACGCATGCGAACGTATACGAAGGTTTGACTTTCTTTGACAATTGCAAATAAATGTATTTGGTATTTTTACTGCTTGCATTGTGTGTGGCCCAAAAGTTAAATGCATTATTAGATTAGATGATTTATTCAAATTCCAATGATGTACAAACTATGTAGGTTCAAAAGCGTGGCTCTGTTGGAAGATGTATTGATGTTACCCGTTACAAGGGATATGATGAACTCCGGCATGATTTGGCTAGAATGTTTGGTATTGAAGGGCAGCTAGAAGATCCTCAACGGACTGACTGGAAATTAGTATATGTGGATCATGAAAATGACATTCTTCTTGTTGGTGATGACCCTTGGGAGTAAGTAGCTTAGTCCTTAATAATTTGTACGCCTACTACTTGTGCAATTCTGGTTTTCTTTTTTTTCTTGACCACCAACTTGTGATTCCTTGCAGTGAATTTGTAATCTGTGTCCAGAGCATAAAGATATTATCATCTGCAGAAGTGCAGCAAATGAGCTTGGATGGCGACTTAGGTGGTAATGTTCCAATCCCCAATCAAGCTTGCAGTGGGACAGACAGTGGCAATGCATGGAGGGGACAGTATGAAGATACCTCAGCTGCCTCCTTTAATAGGTAAAAGATGTCAAATGCTGGCACTGAGAGGTGAACTTGTACATTTTCGGTGGTGGAGAACCAACTTAGCCTTATAAAAATTCTGGTTGGTGCTTCTCAAATGAAAAGGAGACACTCAGTACAAATGATGCAGTTGATTGGGTTATTGTAGAGGTGGTGGACTGGACACATAACTGCATCCTAGTTCTCTTTCACCGCACCGCTTTTGATTGTGAGAAAGTTTAGATCCTTAAATGTAGCAAGAGCAGATTCCCTTACTACCAATGCCACTGATCCTATACCTTTGGAATCAGCTTTTCTTGTGGATGTTGGATTAGGATTTTTTGCTAGGTACAGCAGAATAGGGCAGCTAGTGTATAATATGATCAGTTCTTATATAACCATTAATTTTTACTTATCTGTTGTAAATCTTGTTTTGTTATGGTTAAAGTTGTACACGGAAGTTTAGTGTATTGCTCAGACAATTAAGAATGCATGCCAATTCTAGCTCTTGTATAAAGTGCCTACGCTGTTTCCACGGTGGTCATTATGGATGAAGAAAAACCCGGTTTCTTTTTAATCTCTAATTTTGGAATTAGCATGCTTCAATTACTGTTAGCCTTATTCTAGTCATACGCAGAATGTTTACACCTAGATTTCAATAACAGTGAATTACATATTCTGAGATCATCAAGCAATGTTTTTCATTCATCCGTGTTCTCAGTCTTAAATGAAACCAGTTACCAGTAAAAATTAATTTCATACTTAATTTTGTGATCAAGTTATTTTGATATGAGCTTTTGCACATACAGACACTGCTAACACAATAATTGTTCATTCTTGAGTACTTGGGAGCGCCAATAACAAATTAAAAGGCCACTAGGAATAGGATAATGCCTTCATAAATTTATAGTTCATGAGCCCACGCATTTGTTCATGAAGGAAGATCCCTTGAACCACAACGCACGTGTGAATCTCATTGATCATTCTGAGATCCACGGAACCTTCCTATTTAAGCTCCTTGAACTTGTCTTGGAGATGGAATTATTTCTCTCTTTCAAACAAACAATATATGTTATTTTATTTTTTTTGAAAGTTATATTTAATTTTTTTTTATTTGAAATTGGACGAGACGAAAACAATATTGATGATTTGAATCTCTACTTTCGGTTTTATTGATTTGAAAAACAGATTTTGGGGGTTACCATCGTGGATTTGTATAGTAGTATAACACGGAAATTTCAGCTTTGAAGCAATTGGATCTCAGCCATAGCCTAAAATTGGTTTAGGATCTCAGTGGAAAATAATATATTTCAAACGTTGTAATTTTAATGCAAATTGTCAAATGGAAGAGTTGCAATCAACTATATTTCAGGCGTAGTCATAACATAACCTAAATTAACACAAAAAATTAGGTTTCACAATTGGTTACTAGGACAAGATGGCGATAACATCTGTGGCCCTCAAAGCAATATAGTTAGAACCATCTTTTCCCTTGAAGTCGTTCCCAGCATATTTGGAGTACAAAACTGTATTCCCAGGTGTGATGGACAATGATTTTCTGTTACCTTCCTCATCCAGAGGCCCCGGACCAACTGCTATAACCTGTAACATTAAAAAGCAGAGCAAAAATATTATGGACTATTCTCTCAGAAAATAAACGAGCAAGATTTATTAGAAAACATTATTTAGGCAAAGTATTTTTGCTGCACATTCACAACAAAGGCACCGGTCTAGGACGAGGAAATTCAACAATGGTAAGCATCATTAAATTGCTCTGAACATTTTTCCTCTGTACATTCGAGCAGTTTTATCAAAACTGTATTTTGTTGTAACTATACTATCTTTTCTACACAAGTAAAGAATAATATGAAGGCTCACTGTTCCAATAGATGGTTTCTCCTTGGTTGCCTCTGTGAGCAACAAACCTCCAGCAGTTTTTTCATCGGCTTCTGCAACCTGCAGTAAATATTTAAACAAACCAGTGGATACCATCATTAATTCATTGTCACAGACGTGTAAAGTAAGCAGCATCATATTGCCAGTAAATGCAACAGCCGTAAAGCATAATATGGCAAAAACAAGTTACTAAATGGGAAGAACAACAAAAAACCGCGAGTATTAACTGATTAAGGTAAGAGTTCGTGGAAGAGTTATTTGATCTTACAAAAATATCTTATGACTCTCAAGCTATATTTAGCTTAGTGAAACGAATTATATGGAATAAACCCGTATTTGATTATAATTAATTGAGAAAAATTTATGGTAAAATTAAGTTGTTTAACCAAACGCACCATGCTGTGCTCCAACTAACATCCAACATCAAAATAAACAAAGTATTGGAAAAAATCCAAGTGCTACATCAACTAAAAATAAAACAATTAAAGAGTATATAAGTGGAGAGCAACATTTTTCTTACAAGTCAATTTTGTAAGATTGAGTTAGACTCAAATCTATTATTCTAAGAAAAAGCTTTAAAGAGTAAAGAGTAACACACCTTTATCAAGAGTCTATCGTTCAGGGGTTTAAGATCCTTGACCTCATCAGTTTCAAGAATACCAATGATGTCATCGTCCTTCAGAATAAGATGTTTTGAACCATTGAACTCCACCTCAGTCCCTGCATACTTTGAATACACAACTTGTGCACCTGTCTGTACAAAGAAATGCTTCACATAAGTTCAAATTTCAAAATTAAGAGGAAAACACAGGATAGATTGAAATGTTAAGGATTTCGGATTTCCTATTTCTTAACATAGTAACATCACCTTCACATCAATGTCCACTTTGCTATTCCCAATTGACTTGCCATCTCCAACAGAAACCACTTCACCCGCTTGAGGCTTGCTTTGAGCAGTCGTTGGCAGTAAAATCCCACCTTCAGTCTTCTCCTCTGCATCCTTGATTTTCACCAGTACCCTGTCACCCAGAGGCTTAACAGAGGTGTGCTGCATCGTGAAATACAATCAGAAACATGTACGTAGTAATTCACCAAAAGAAATAGAAACACGTATGTAGCATTGAATTGAGAAATCTACATGTAAAAACAAAAAATAATGGAAACAATCTCAAGAGACATGACTATTATAATTCAAAATCGACAAAATTCAAATTTTAATATGAAATTATTGACTGAGTAATAGTCGGGTAAAATTTAAACCGGTGTAATTAGATCCTTAACAATCAATTACAAAGCACACCAAAAAATGAAACATATAACCAAATGCATTAATATTAATAATAACAATAAGAAGAAAGACCTTGGGGGCGACAACAGTGGCGGCTTTGACAACGAAAGAAGGGAACGAAGTTCGTGTGGGAGTGGCAATTCTCACGTGCCCAGCAAAAGGGAATCGATGCGTTGAAGGTTGGAACCTTTCAAATGCAGGCAAGTTCCTCAATGATGCAGTGAGATGAGAGGTTGCCATTGGAGCTGCTCAAAAAAACGAATAATCATTAAACTACGGTACCTTCGGCAACAGAACATGTACGAGAAAAGAAAGAATGCCGTTACAATCGTGCATTGCATTTTCGTGAGTCAGTCCGATACGATAACAGCAGAAAATGGAGATTTACGTTCAGGTTATCCAATTCAATTTTCTTAATTTTCCCGATAACGATAGTTTTACTACCAAGAAAAATAAAAAGAAGATGGATAGAGATTAGGGAGTGTACCTTATCAAAAATGTGCCACGAAACTTCGAAAATGGGAGGAACACTGAAAATAAAGATAAACCCTAGGCAAATATTGGGGTATTAATAGTTAATAGAACCTTCTAGAATTATCAAACCACAAACTCGTGTATAGTGCACCCACTCCTCTATGTTTTCTTCTAACGAATTTCAATTTACAATCGTATCCAACCAAAAATGCAACGCAAATGGTAAATTTAACTTTACATGTAATATTAATTGTTCTTATTATGTACAGTTTATAATAAATACACATGTAGTGTTAATTATTTTTTATCAATAATTATCATATTATAAAAAGTAATAGATATACAATGTCTTAATAAAAAAAATATTCTTATCATATATGTAATTTGTAATTGGATGACTATATAAAAAAATACACAGTTAGTTTATACTTTTTTCTCGTAAAAAAAACTACATCTTATTTTATTTTATCTAATAAATATAAATTTATAGAATTATATTTTAACCATAATCGCAGGGGCATAATAGGGCTTCAAAGAGACCAATATACAACGTAAAACAAGCCCAAAGTTACTCCTAGGATCAATAGTATAATAACCCATGTGGAATTGCCATCCAAATTGTCCAACGAAAAAATTAGGGTACATTTGTTTCGAAAATTAATATTTAAGTTAAATTTTATTTTTAAGGGGACATTTGATAGTTAAAAAGTTTTTACTTTATCAAAAATATTAGTTTATTGTATTTTGTTTCTCATTTAAAAAAATATTATTTTTCATAAATAATTTTCACATAAGAAGAAGGTGAAATTTTTTCATACTCAAAAATCATGATTCCTGATAATTATAAATATTAGAAATCATTATTCTTAAAAATAATTAAAATATATTTGGTCACTTAAGAGAATATTCATATAGGACTCTTGAAAATTAAAGATTTTCATATTTTATTATAATAATATATTATTGGATATATATATATATATATTACAAAAATATCATTTATTAAAATAAACTTATTAAATGTATTTATTTACTCAAATTTTATTATGAATATGATATTAAAAAAAATTTAAAAAATGTATTATTTCATTTCATTCAAATAAAAGTGTTAACAAATATTATTAAAATATAGAAACAAAATATACTTTAATATTATTATTAAAATTGACAAAGTTAAGATATAATAAAATATAAAAAAAGAAAGAGATTAATAGATATATGGGAGGTAGAGAGAGGAAGGAAGGGGATAGCGAGGGGGAGTGAGAGTGAGACAGAGAGCCCCTGACTCACATCACGCTCAACTTCATGATGTTGCGTTTAGGGCGATGACAATTTTTGCACTTGACAAAATCGTGATTTGGCTTCATTCACTAGCAAATTCACTTCCAATTCAGTATGCAACCAGTACTTCAACACATAGATATGTAAAACAACTCAAGATCATCGATGTACAAAACATGCAACAATAAACACTCAAGAATTCAATCATTTCTTCTTTAAAATCCTCCAAAACTCAAGTTACAAGGCTTTCGCTTCTCAAATCAACATTTCAACCACAAAAGATGGATTTCAAGTTAAAATCAACATATACTAAACAACCACACTCAATTTACCAACTTCCCTTAACTCAAATCACAAGAAAAGTGGAAGAAGGAACATGAATGGTAGAGAGTTTCTCAACTCTAAAACTTTGAATCACAATCCAACTATCTATGCTCTGAGGAAGGATAACAATCCATGAAGTCATAAGGGAGAACAATTATCATGTGGGTCCAGATATCATCTTTCTAACCCCTCTCTAAGTTTCTTAAGAAAATTAACTTATGAAATTCAAGTATGAAGAAACCTTATATACGTTGCCCCAAATTTGGTAAATAATGACCTTAACTCAACAACCCCTAAACAACTAAACTCATAAGAATTCCCTAAGCAACTAAACTCAAGCAAAATCATCTTTGTGTCGCTAGTTTCACTTGGATTTTTATATTCAAAAGCACTCCACTAGCGAATTATACAAACCTTCAATGTCTAGTAAATTTTACCAATAATTGTGTTTGGTATCAGAGTAATTTTAGGAGCCATCACTAATCACTAATAGGATTATTTTGGTATTTCAGTCATAATAAGTAATTAAAAAAGTGATTTTTATTTGTGAAAGATGTGCAATATATATAGAAAATCAATTATTTAATGTATGAAATAAGAAGACTATTATACTACAAATAATTAAGAAATATTATTAGTATATTTAATTTGTAATTATATTAATTAAATAGTAATAAATTTTTTTATAATTAATATAAAAGATTTAAATTTTAAGGTTATATAATTTACACTCATTACTTATTTATTATAAGAATTATCTATCAAATGTTTGTTTGATCTTAAACTTAATATGAAAAAACAAAAAATATTAAGGTTAATATGATTTATTTTTTTGTATTTTTGTTTAAAAGTGTGTTTTTAAATACATCTTATTTATCAATTCGAATTAAATGTTAAATTTTTTATAGAAAGATCTTATTTTCATATTTTTTTCTCAAATTTATTAGATTAATCGATTTAAATTAATCAGAAATAGTTTATTTTTATTTTTGTTAAAGTCATATTTATTTCTTAATTGCATTGAATAGTAGAAAATGACATTTAATATTACATTATAACCTATAATTATTAATTTTATAAAAAATAGTTTATTTTAATATTTATTTAAATAATTCAACATAGGCTTAATTTTGATAGTGCAAACGTTTTTAACAATTCAAGCAAATTACTTTTCAGTTTTTTTTTATATATAATTTTTTTATAAAGTATAAATTGTTTTATTTTTGAAGAGGACAACAATGTAAATTATATTGGAACTAAAATAAAAGTAAACGCCATATAAATAATTACTTTTCAGTTTATTGAGAATATTGAAATGGGTATGGAACTGATTATATAGAAAAGAATGTGAATTTAAATATCGATAATTAGGAAAATTATTTGTTTATACAATTGGTGAATTTGAAAGGGAGAAGAGTTTCAGGAAAAAAGTGAGTCCAATATACTTAGATTTAAGTGAAAAATTATAAAAATACTATTCTACCTTTAATAATATATAAATTTAAATAATTCAAATATAGACTTTTGATAGTGCAAATGTTTTTAACAATTCAACCAAATTATTTTTTAATTCTTTTACATATAAATAAACACCATAAATAATTACTTTTCAGTTTATTGAGAATATTGAAATGGTTATGAAATTGATTATATACAAACGAATGTGAATTTAAATGTCGATAATTAGGAAAGATTGTATTGTAAATAATTAGGAAATATTATTTGTTTGTATAATTGGTGAATTTGAATTTTAAAAGGGATAATAGTTTGAGAACAAAGTGAACCCCAAATGTATCGATTTGAGTTGAAAACTTAATATAAAAAAAGACTATTTTATCCTTAATAATAATAATATATAAATAACATTTTTTTTATCACATTAAACTAATAACAATATTAACGAATTTAAGAAAGATGTACTATTTTTATTTATTTATTATACTTCTATATTATCGTTTATTATAAAATGATATATAAATAATTTCTAAGACTAAAATTGATGCATCTTTAAATTAGAATAATTAAAATAAGACAAAATATTTTTGGAAGACTAAAATTAAACTTTAAAAAAGAGACAAAAATATATTTGACCTTTATGAATGTAACATTTAAAAAATAATAATAATAATAATAACAAAATTATATAATCATATCATGTTTTATATTTAAGTATAAAAATATTTAAAAAAATAACTTATTTTTAAACTAATATATATATATATATATATATATTTAACGGTTGGATTTTAAAAAAATTCACATTTAATATGAAATTATTAAACAGTGTAATATTTCGTAAAAATTACACCGGTGTTGTTTCAACCTCCTTTCTATATATATATATATTTGGACCCTCTTAAATATGAGTCCCAGATATAGATGGTTAGACTTTTAAACTACTCTCATAACTGGCTCATAATTGCGGACTATAAGCTGTGTCGATTAAAGAAGGTTTCGTGCTGGTCTCCTACTAGTGATTTGCAAAATTAATCTTGCAAAAGCCATGATTTGGCATAGGAATACAGTTTTGGCGGGGAATTTTGATTAAAAAATATTAAAATGTTGAATGATACACTACAAAGTACGAAAGAAAGTAAATTATAATATACAATAATTCGTTATAAATTACTCATAATATAGACAAATTATTCAAAGGTTTTTTTAATTATTATTTTTAGTTAAATTTAGTCCTTATAAAATAAATTAAACAAGTTATGATTTTAATTCCTCCAAAAAAAATATTTTTTATTCTTACAAAATTTATAATTATTATTTTTAGTTGATATTATTATATTTTTTGACATATTAAGTTTCTATTATTATATAATTATTTTTAACTCCTTATTTGTTTATCAAAATATTAAGTGGCTAGATGTTACATATAATTATTAGTGATATCATATTATTATGTGACATCTCTAATTTTTTTTATAAATATTTATAATAAATGTTATTTGTCTATCTTAAAATCATTGTTAGAAGTAAAAAATATTGGTTTTAGAGAGATAAAAATCAAAAGAAAAAATATTTTATAAGGAACAAAATCAAAATTTACTCTTTTTACAAAGATATAAAATATTTTACAAAGATAAAAAAAATGAAACACTATGAAATTGTATGATTGTTTGTTTAATTTTATTACGTGAATGGTTTATGAATTGTTGTTTTATTGTTGTAAAAACTCCAATGATTAAAGAATTATTGTGAGCTTACTTACTTTAGAGGTGTTTTGAGTTGAAGTTAAAGTTGACTAAATTTATGAGAAGGTACAATATTTAAGAGTTTTCTTAAGATGTAAACTTTTCTTTAAGAAAGTTAGAAAAAAGGTTAGATAGATAAACTCTAGAGTCAAAGAGAATCTTTTCCCTTATAACTTAGTAGAAGTACACAAACTCTTCCCAGTAGCTTATTAGTAGTACTGTTTAGAGGATTCGAAGTTCAAAGAGTTGAGAATCTTAAATTGCAGCAGTTGTATGACGAAGCTCGAAGGACCTTATTCTTCACCATTCTTCTTCTTCTCTTTAGTTTGAGAGATTTCAAGTAAGGGAAGTTT